ACAGTTTACTTATAGATACTTTTCCGTGACACCCTGTCACAGTTTACTTATTGATACTTTTCCGTGACACCCTGTCACAGTTTACTTATAGATAGTTTTCCGTGACACCCTGTCACAGTTTACTTATAGATACTTTATCGTGACACCCTGTCACAGTTTATTCAGAGTTAGCTTTCACTAATGAGATTCGTTGATATTCTCTTAAGAATTGATACTGAGTTCTCTCTATTGACTCACATCAGTCTTTAGATAAGTAGCTATAAGATCCTAATTGGGGAGAGAGTGCTTCTCTTGTCGACGCTTTACACGCCATTGAAATCCAAGCTATATTTAACCGATGTATTCCATTCATATAATCAACTAATTGTAAGTTAATGTCTTATTACTTATATTCAATAAAACTATTTAATCAATTAAACCCGTGTGGCATTATTCAACAAAGGGTATGTACATTCTATTAATTATCCGCATTTGCCCGCTAATAATTACCTCAACGCTTGTTCGCGCTTGTCTCTCGCTTCGAGGTTAAACTATTTAACAACGAACTCGTCACCCGAAAACTGTTCATGAGGAATAGATAACGTCTTTAAATAGCTTCTTGAGACTAATTAAATTACTTAATTACTGTAAGACNATGAGGAATAGATAACGTCTTTAAATAGCTTCTTGAGACTAATTAAATTACTTAATTACTGTAAGACCTAAATTAATTATTGCGCGCCACCTTTGAATGATTGTTTCGATGACAATATTCAATGGACAGTTTTTATACGTGACAATACTATACAGTAATTTAGAAACATTTTGTAGATAAAGCTAACATTCCTGTAATACTCAAAGCATAGAAAACAATTCTCAAAATATTTCATGTCTTTGTGCTTTTCGCTGCAATTTTATCCTTAATTTTCTCATTTATTGCGCAAAATTGGATTCAATTACTGCAAACACACTCACCGGGAGAGGGAAGTCCGGCTTTAGAGTTACTCCTCGACCACAGCTTTCGTCGGCCGTCTCCTAACACTTCCTGATCTCTAGATATCGACTGCTTTGACGAAATGGATGGATGAGATGACGAGTTTTTACTCTTTGGCACTTCCATTGAACTGATATCCACATAAGTGTCGTTATCCTTGTCGATCACATTCAGATCAATCTCTTGCCCCGAAGGGCTTGTATTCAAATTTTGTTGTCCATCAATGGATTCACTGGCACTGGAATTGTCAGTATTAGCTGCCATACGAGACTTCAAGTACTCCTGTGTCTCCTTTTCAATCTGTCTGATGTCAGCCATCGTGAGTCCGACCCACTCGTCCTGCCAGGTCCAGGCCTGCTTATGCGCCCGAACCATTATCTTACGCAATGCTATATTCGGTGCCAATCATTGCCATTATTTATTCAATATTTTTTACACACATATTTCAAAAAACAAAATCAATGCAAACCTCCTTCATGTATGAATTTTTCAATCTTGGTCTGCATTCCCCAGTATTTAAACTCGACTCTAACCAACTTATAGGCGCACATAATGCACTTGTTTTTCGATTTATTATGATTGTTGTTCATTGAGTTCCAGTGCTCTTCCACCCAATTCTCACCGAGAGGTCCGCGCTTTGTCTTCTCCGACACGTAATACTTGGGATCCTCTTCTTTCTTATAGTCTGATGAGTAGAGCTGATCCTTAACGATGTCGATAACATCTAAATATATTTATTTTTGATTTAAAAATTTGTTTTCAATTACAAAATCGCTTTGTTTTATTTACCGACGATTCGGGATCTGAGCTCAGAGTTGTTCAGTTCAAACACATTCTCTCGTTCCCCGCAATCATCAAAATATTTCGTTTCAATTTCTATAAAAAACTTTTCAACGAAAGGACATGTATAACGGGTTTTGGTATACGGATAGGCATTCCAGGCCTCCTCTCCAACGGTTTGTACTGATTTCGGTAATAATGCTTTTAGCCATCCTTTCATTGAATAAATATAAAAATTAAATGAAACATAAAAATTAGACTATATTTCAATGTCAAATACAAGTAGACATACCCGGCAAATGATATCCCACGTGATATATTTTAGATGTGTATTGACCGGAACCTCCGGGTCCGTTATCATACGGCTCGTTAACTATAATCTCAACACCACTACCGGTTCCCTGCGATTCTTCTTTGCTTTTTTTCTTTTTTAATTAAAAACAAATTGTTTGCCAATAAATATTTGTACAATAAATATGAGCGCAGAATTGAAAACAAATAAGTGTTGTTTGCATCTCGTAGTGAATACATACGGCAATCATATAGAGTTGGGCCACTTTGTACTCTTCGACCGACAGTGGAAGTGGGATCCGGTATTCTTTGATCAACATTTTCAATGGTTTGACTGGTCTTCAGGTCATCCAATGTTTGTTAGCAGTTCCTAAAGCGCGGATCAAATGTCACATTCAGTAAATACTGTATAAACACGTGAAGAATAACGACATTTTATTAGGGAATAATCTATTTTAAAAAGATCGGTGACTTAAAAATGTCTTCACTTGTACTGTATATGAATTATGTCGATGTTTTTGATGAACACTTTGGTATGTGTGTGATTGACACACACAGACACACTGTGTCAGTGAATTATGTATAATATTATGTATAATATAGTGTATGAAATGCCTGTCTATATTGAATCAATAGTATTGATTCCGTACTACAAGTATTGATACGAGAGTTGTTATATAACTGTGAAGACAAACACTACATGTCATACACGACGGCTCATCTCTGGTGTGCACTTAAAGACTGCAAAATTGAGTGAAAGAAAGGCAGAGAAAAAAATGTTTTTGTTTCTAAACATTATTATTTAAAAGGCATTAAAGGCATTACAGAGCACTTACTTTCTTATCTCCTATTTATTTATCTTCGAAACGAGAATAATATATAAAAATTTTTATTTCGAAACATAAATAAACAGTTAAATTCATTGCATGAATGGGTTATCAGGTCTATAGTGAAGTGTTAGGAGAGAGACCAAGAATACAGTGTAAATATGTGTACACATAATCATAATATATAATATGTTTATCTTATAAATAGTTTGTGATATCAATTTTAATTGCATTCAAATTCAAACAATTGTTCACATTTTTGGTGAGAATAAGCAAATATTGTGTCACTTTTATATAATACACGAACGTATGCTTAATGTATATATGCTTTACATTATTTACAGAATATTCTGTTGGAGTTAATAAATAAATAGCTATTGAGTGGAGAATATTCTTGCGCTCGGATTCCTAACGCATATTATATATACAGTAAATGTGTTTCACATATAAATAACAAATTCACTAAACGTTTAAATAAATTATTATACATTTAAAGAGATTATCGTTTTAACTAAACAAAACATGTAATTAATTAATAATTGTATATCAAATACATATCATTCACACACAAAAGGCTGGACACAAACCGTGACTGAAATAACATTAAATGAATGCCAGAATTGGCCAAAAAGTGCCAAATTATACAAAAATATTCATATATTGTTAATATTCCTAATATTCCTTCCCTTCGTATACTCACTATTAATACAAGAAATTAATTCTCGTTTTCAAACTTAAATTCATTGCATTAACAATGCATTTAAAATGAAGGCAAACATAGCTGTTATGTAATATTGTATAATATAATACATAATTGATATTAAAATGCATAATAAATGCACGCATTTGAAGGTATGCTCGCGTTTAACGTGAATAACACAATCAATACCTGAATTGCATTTAACGCTCACATCGTTGTAGCGGTTGTTGTAATCAAACCACTGATCCTATGGTTAAAAGTTTGGCCAAATTGAACAGATTTTAGCGATAAATGCATTGCATTTTGTGTCACATTATTATTACATAAATATAAACATTAATACAATCGTAAACATCACAACAGAAACAGAGAGACGACTATTAAATACTTAATTATATTTTACAACATTTGTGTCAAAACATATCAATAATATTAGCTTAAGATGTGATGCGAACGGAAAGGACTGTACAGACAGTACTGTACGAGTAAATTGTGCACAATTCAAATGTGAATGTGAAAGGTCATTTCACCACAAACCATACACATGCACAATACAACACTACCTCAATGCTATATAATGTGCATGTGATGTATACTAATATTATTGCCCTAGGTTATTTGTAAATACGTATGCCAACAATTAGCCAGGTGCATTTTTGCACACCATTACTACCCAGTTCTATCCAGTTGCATAATAATAGCCTATAATTTTCCACAACTCGCATATAACAGGTGTCTATAATAATAGAGGGGGTCTATCGGGGGGCGCATTGGGGGGCCATTTGTAGCGCACATTATGAATACTGTGCGGCGAATACGCTATCTATGAATGGGTGTCGGAATACTCGTAACGTAATCTACGTGTGGATTGTGTGGTAAACACTGATGTGTGGAAAATGGCTGTCAATTGTAATAATCAATTGTTTGACTCATTAATTGACATTTAAATGTATTTCTCGTCATTTGAATGCATTGTTTGAATGGTTACTGACTTTTGTGTTAACCCTTTCTCGCGATCGCAACACAAGTATTGCACTAAAAGTACAGACATTTTGATTGAAAGCATTGTTTTGTTTGTTTGGTCCACGAATTGAACGCCCGATCAGAGTATGAATGGAGGCCTCAATGATGTCGATCACCGCCGATGACGAGTTGGCCATCGATTCCAGTATTACTGTTAACCCAGCGGTCGCTGTTGTGGTCGCTGTGGAGGACAACAATCAGCCGTTGAATGGCCACAAGAGTGGCGTCCGAAGGGATTCACTGAGTGATCGCTACGACAATAGTATTGCCATAAAGAGACCCAAATTAGGCAAACCCGAGGCCACACAGTCTTCGCCCCTGCCTTACAGCACATCCGCTGCCAATCCTTTAGTTCAATGCAAACAACACGTGACGATGTCTTCGTCCGCAGCCATACCACAGTCGACACAAACCGAAGACATGGATCACTCCAATGACACGGATTCCACTGATTATAGTATTAATTGTGTGAACAGTAGTAGCGATAGTCGACACCCGCGCACAGGTGTGGCCACGAGTACTACCGCTACCACTACTGCCGCCACAACTGGTGCCGAGAGCTGGTCCGACGCCGACGACAACAACAACGGTCTGGAGAGTTGGCTCAAGACGTTCTACAACTGGTCGCACAACGAAAGGATTGAAGCGTTAGACTGTTTAGTGTCTTCGGATATCTGCGAAGTCCAACAGATCCGACACTTGCTTACACTGATTGAACCTCAACTCCAAAGAGACTTCATATCACTTCTGCCAAAAGAGTTAGCGCTCTATGTCTTGAGTTTCTTGGATCCGAAGGATCTGTTAAGAGCCGCACAAACGTGTCGTTATTGGAGAATATTATGCGAAGACAACCTCATGTGGAGAGACAAGTGTCGAGAAGAGAGACTCCTCGACGACAACGAACCGATTTCCGATCTGTTTAGCCGACGTGTGAGCGGCGGTCCGGAGAGACGGCGGTCGTGGCTGACGTGTCCGACGCCCTCTTCGCCGCCTCATTCTAACAGCTGCTCACCGAAGAGGTCGCCGTCATCTCCGGTCTGCTCGACGCCACCGTTCATAAGATCTGATTATAAAATAGCGTTTTTAAGACAAAAGACTATTGAATACAACTGGAGATACGGAGTGCTGTCCACTGAGAAGGAGACGGCGGCGACCACATCGTCGGCCACTTCGGCCAGAGCTCGACTCCTGAAGGAAATACTTTATCTGAAAGGACACGACGACCACGTAATCACTTGCCTTCAGTTCAATCCATTGTCTAATCTAATAGTGAGCGGAAGTGATGACAACACGTTAAAAGTCTGGTCCAGTGAATCGGGACGTTGTCTGCGGACACTGACCGGCCATACGGGTGGCGTCTGGTCTTCACAACTATCACCTCAAGATATCATAATCAGCGGCTCAACCGATCGGACGCTCAGAGTGTGGAACGCTTTAGATGGCAAATGTCAGCACATTCTCTATGGCCACACCTCGACTGTCAGATGCATGGCTTTACACGAGGGACAGGTGGTGAGCGGTTCCCGCGACGCCACGCTTCGGGTCTGGAATATCGAGTCGGGCGAGTGTTGTCACGTCTTGACCGGACACGTGGCGGCCGTGCGTTGTGTTCAATTCAATGGCAAACTATGCGTTTCGGGTGCTTATGATTATTTAGTTAAAGTTTGGGACGTTATGTCCGAAACATGTCTTCACACACTCGAAGGCCACACCAATCGCGTCTATTCGCTGCAATTCGATGGCCAACACATTGTGAGCGGCTCTCTGGACACGTCGATCCGGGTCTGGTCGGCCACCTCTGGCACATTGAAACACACACTTATAGGTCACCAGTCGTTGACGAGCGGAATGCAGTTAAGGGGCCATATATTAGTGTCGGGTAACGCGGACTCCACTGTGAAGGTGTGGGACATCAACACCGGTCAGTGTCTGCAGACACTCTCCGGCTCTAACAAACATCAAAGTGCTGTCACATGTCTTCAGTTTAACTCACGGTTTGTGATCACATCCAGCGATGACGGAACTGTCAAACTATGGGACCTCAGGACTGGAGAGTTCATTAGAAACTTAGTCTCATTGAGTAGTGGTGGTAGCGGTGGAGTGGTGTGGCGTATACGGGCTTCTAATACCAAACTTGTTTGTGCCGTCGGCTCCAGAAATGGCACCGAAGAGACCAAACTTCTTGTTCTCGACTTCGATGTCGTCGACAATAAATACATCAAATATGAAGAGACGGACAGTATGTTTGATATGGAGAATGAATTCGATAATAATAGAGATAATCTTATTTTACTTTAACCTTTATTTTAGTCAATATTTACTTCAAATAATTGTTCACTCATTTTATTAAAATAACAAAGATTTAATTTCTTAAACCGAGACTACTTTTTATGTAATCTTTATTTAATCGAATAAATGTTTCAGCATTTGTTTTAACCATTGTTTTAATCACTTGTTTTATTCATTGTCTTAATTATATCCCAAAATAATATTTTTAGCTTTCGTTTCGTTTACCAGACGTTGTGTAGTATAGAAGAGTTGTATCCATCTATAGGTCTCTTTGATGGCCAATATGTGGATAATAAGCCCTTTTCATGATATCTGTCATCATTTAGAGGGAACTAATGATGAAAAATGATTGAAAAAATGACAGATCATTGTATAGACTCAATAGACAGCAAACAATTTGCATTCATTGCTGTGTCTATTGTTAAGGCAATGATTTCCTTCAAAACAATGCCATTGAATGCTTGTTAAACGCAAACACTGTATACGAGTGTTAACATTGAGGACGGGTTATCGAAATAATGGTAAACTTGTTTTATTA